GATTTCAAAACTACTAGTTTTGTGACATGTAAAAACAATTAAAGGTCAATTCTTTTTAAAAATTTCAAGAATTTTAAATTGCAAAATCTATATTTTAGCTAAGTTTAAAGGAATATAATTCTTGGTCATTAATAAATGATTCCCTAATTAATAATTGTACCAATTAAATTTACTGCATTAATTTTAAATTAAATATCAACCCCTCTGGTTAACGTAGTGCACTCTAATTACTAAAGGAAACATTTTGCTTAAATAAAAACAGTATTTCATTCATCATAGAAATGCCAGCAATAAAATTGCATAAAGCAGTGGAAAGCTGTGATTGTAAAGTTTGTAAAGCAACGCTGTAATCAATCTCGTTTTCCCGTCTCTCACCGCGGTCTTTTTAGAAACATAAAAAAAAAGCCGGACAGGTTGAAAAACAAAAAAAAAACACGAAGCGAAACGGAATAACTGATGTTCATTGAAAAGTTTCGCCGGTGGTAAAGGGTGGTGCTTCAGGCTGAACAAGGTTAGAAAAATAAACGGAGGTCGGGAAGCGTGCGACATCAAGCCTCGTTCTCCTTTTTTTTTAAAAGGTAGACCCATTAAACGTATGGCCCTTCACCCTGAAAATCTCGACGCAGTTAGCGGTTTCCAGAGGCTCGTTTCTCCTTCGACCCTTATTCCGGTCTTCTCCCGTCGCGTCGCGTCGCGTCGCGTCGCGTCGCACGAATAGGGCTGAGGGAAGGAGTGAAAGACGGAGTTGAAATCGCGAATAATTTCATCCCCGTTTGCTCGAGCTTCTCTACTTGTTTCAAGACGATCCGAAAGAGAATTCTGAATTCGCCAACGTTCGTTGTCGCTCAGCGGAAAATGAGAGCTAAACGAGCACCTTTGATAAATGTTTGACGAACCTTTGTAAATTGTAAAAGTTTCAAGAACTAAACGAACACGGTTGACAGCTCTGTAAATACTAATATCGGCCTCTGTAATTTACTTCCTTTTCATTGTTCCTTACCGGAATGAAGTCTTTGTTCTCTTAATACTTCTGAATTAATTCCTATAATATTCAAATAGATTCTATTCCATTTAATGCGAAAATTTCTACAATCCTTTGTATTACAGTGAATAAATAATAATATACAGAAAGCAGCGGAGGTGTCCTGAAGTTGCGAACGAGTTAGATAACGAGGTTTCGTCGTTACAGCAATAAACTTTCGCGTATCCGTGTGTAAGCCAGGCAGGAAGGAAGCAAAACAGTAACTGTGCATATTAAATTGTGTTGTCACTAATAACGTGCTCCGACGTAGTTGGTAGTCGGCAAGAAATACTGTCGTTTAGAATAGAATGTCAGCGTTGATGAAACACTGAAACGACGCGACGCGACGACGGTTTACGAGGCGGTTCCTTTTTGAGGTTGTGAAACGTAACTTTATTCAGAGCGTATTATCAGCAACGTCGTCACGTTGGCTACATACGTTAAACTCTCGGTTACGATCATTTACACGTGCAATATGACGAAAGTTTAACTTCTGACAGGCGTTCCAGGAAACTGCTAAGCAGTTTCAGACGTATATTCAATGTCTTCTTAGCTTCCACTTTAGCCGGGTATCCGCTTAGCTAGCTGAATATGGTACGTCAGGATGCATGCTGATTAGTTTTATTCTGATTTATATCTTACAAATTGAATTTCTTGGTTAATACAGTACATTGATCGATGTACCTTTTATTGAAATTTTCAAATTTTTAAGAGGTAAAATTAGAGTGCATCTTTAATTCAAAGTGAATATTTCGAATTTTGTCTGGTGAAACAAAAGGAAATAAAAGGAACAGGAGAAACACCTATCGTCGGATAGTCAGAAACGAGGTTCCCGTAAATCCTGGTGGCCCGACCCCCGTGGACCATCGCGTACACGGGATATGACGAAAGTTCGTAGACTGCGAACCGATTTCGGGACTTGTCACGGAGTTTACAATATATATTCCCGTCTCTTCGCGGAGTTTCCATCCAATTTCTGTGTTGCAGAGCAGCAACAGGGACATCGTCGACACCACGATCGTCCCTGTGCCCTGTAACGAATATTCAACCGACGCGACGCGACAGTCACGATCTTAGGGAAGGTCCCTTCGCGACAGAATCGAACCTGTTCCATCCGATTCCACTGTCGAGATTTCTCAAATTATCTTCCACAGACATACCACGATGTCGTACAACCTTGGCCCTTGTAATTTCAACGTTCTCGTCGACACGATGAGAAATTGCAAGGCAAATACCGGGTGTACCTCGGTTCTCGGAATTTCCACTATATTCGCGAGTTAAAATAAAACTTCCTATTCGCTTCGCGAGTTTCTTTCTAACCTGTTCCATATGAATCATGATCGAATTTGTGTAATCAAATTTTCGCGGTAATATTGTGGGATTTATTGCGTAGAAATTTTAACAAATTGATTACTGTGGAGGGCTTTAAATTTACCTAATAAAGCAGTAAAAAAAAAATTAAAGGGTGGAAACTTTTTAATTGCATTTACAGTAGGAATGTATGATGGTATATTATATTTTGTAACACAAAGAGACCGTACATCATCGTTGCTAATCTGGTTCAAAGGTCAACGTCGAATTCGATCTCATCCTGTTCGAAACTTTGAGGAAATGATTCGGCGGTGCCTTTGATACAAGTTATTCGCCGAGTGTTTGGCTTAAACCGCCAAACTGTCCAGCAGCTCCTGGACTAGACTCATCTTCTGAATCCGAGTTGAACTCGGTGGTTTTCAGGTCAAACAACAGGGTACATAGTTGTGTGGCATTTTGAAAGCACTTTGATTTAATTAGGTACTTTTAATATTAATATCGTCAAAATGATGCTTTTGAGAATTCCTGCTTTCTCTATATCGCCACTTTACATGCTAACCATGTAAACCATTTGAAATTTTATTTATCAGGACAGCAAATATTTTGATATGTTCGAACTTAGAAATAGATATTTTCGATGCGGCAGACGCATACTTATGTAACTATGCGGTGCATACTTCGCGAAGGCGATGCACTTTCCGCACCGCTGGAATTTCTTGGTGTGTAATCGAGTAAAGATAATCCTCTGCATAGTTTCCGTATGTTCGTTAATACCTTGTCCGCCACGCTGAATTCATTGAAAGTTTCAGTTTTAATCATTCTAATCCACTGTTTCGATGTAATCCTACTAATAATAGTTTAAATTTGATATCTTATCAGTCGGAATCGGGGATCGCAGTGTCCTGATGCGTAGGAACAAACAGGAAGCGCATCTTTGCGGATGTTATTTGTATCTGTCAGAAGCAGCCGGGACGATTGCATGCGGACGTTATACACGTTAGAAGACTTCTCTCGTCGCTATTGATTGTCCTGACGTGAGGAGAATCCGGGCATCCGCACACGGGGCATTTGCCACCCCTTTCTTACGTTCACCCTCTACTCTTCCCTCGTGTCCCGAATACGAGACTCTGCATCAACGTATAATGTTTTCTCCTTGGATCGCGAACGAAATTACCGTGAAATAAGGCATCATGAGTCTTTTTGTTTTTAACACATTCAAGTATTTTCAATATATTCTGGATATTGCAGCTTTAATATTAAATATCATAAAATATTTAAAATGATAATTTTAGTTACGCCAATGCCTTTTATAAGAAGTAACGTATCACGGGTATAGAAAAGATACTACATTCCCGAGGAATTTCGGGATCGTTGAAAGAAAGTCAATTGTAAGAAGACGATTACAGGTAATGTGGGTGCTGCAACAGCCATTACCAAAGAGAAACTGAAATTTGATTTCGCGTCTTCGTATCGTTCCTCGCCGTATGACTTTGGCCCGCGTCCTGAATCCTCAATAGTCTTGAAACACGGTTACACCGTCAGCTGATGGAAGTAGTTGTACGTGATCTGCTAACAAAACGCTCGTGGAAAAGTGTAATTGAATTAATAAACTAGCAAGGAATCTGGCATAGAGGTTATTTACTTCGGTACATCTGCAACTAGTACCGCAGAACTGGAAAAAATAGAACATTCTATGGACCTTGTACGTTATTTAGAAAAAGATACATACCTTTGGCATTAGTTAGTTGCTAGCTAAATTTTATATTCCTCTCTGGTATCGCAGATAGAATGATTGATATTTGTTCTACGTGAATTCGAATTGATGACACGGTTTTTCATTTTTACGTATATTTAACTATTTCGTTGTGGAGGAGATCGATGCAGAAGCCGTGTTAGCACTGACATACATTTTTTAGTAAATAATACAATAGAATATTTTATTCTATCATCTGTTAACCTAACTTATTGTGAAATACATTTCTTACACTTCACTTGTCGTTTGCAGCGTTTCTGTTGCAGTTCAGATAGAGCTACTACCTTTTTTCCTTTTTTCGTATCGCGCGGTTCTTTTATTCATTTTCCCATGGCACCTCAGCAATCTCTCAAATGAGCCTGGTTTCTCACCACTGACGATGAGAGACGGCCTACATACATATTCGGTTTTTCTCCACAGCCGACGCGACGCGACGCGACGCGACGCGACGACGTTTACCGAAACCGGCAAGGGAACTTGCAGCTTTCTTTTTCTTGCTGCCTTTAAAACGGCTCTGTGGATTCACGTACCAGGTTACCGGGTCACCTGCAACGGCCTGCTTGATTATATTATGCGGAAGATCGTTCCTCGGTTCCTTGGCTCTTGGCCATTTGAAAAAGATGACGAAAAATCCAGCTAAAAAAGCTTTCGTTTTTTCTGAGAAACCCTAAGGATTCGAACCTCAAAAATTCGTTTTTGGGAGACAGGTGTTACCCGGAATCAAGGAATTGAAATTAAACTAAACTAACTAACTAATACTTTGGAAATTTTATTTTACCGCGGTTTTTCACTACCGCGATTCTTTTGCTAGAAACTGGTCCTCGTGATATCGATTTCTCCATCGTTTCCCAGCTTCTAGTACACTTTGATATCCATACGGATACGTTAACGTTACTTTCCATTGTCTGTTCGCAGAGTTTACGCAACATGATGACAGCCAATACGACTGATGCTTGTGAAACACGTGATCCTTGCCAACACGGTGGTATCTGTATTTCCACCGATAGTGGACCCATCTGTGAGTGCCGGTCCGGCGATTATGAGGGTGCCTATTGTGAGAAAGGTAGGTTGTTTTACATCTAGATGCTTCGTTGTTTACATTTCTGTATAGAAACGCGGTGTTTCAATTGCTGGGTTCAAATATCCGACTGTCTTGTATGATTTGATCGTTGATCGTTGATCGTTGATCGTTGATCGTTGATCGTTGATCGTTGATCGAGCTTTCATACCAGTTCTATCGTGTAACAAGATAACCAATTATCGTCACTGTCGGATCAATTATTATATTTTTATTTAAAAAAATAGTCTTTAATGTATGATAATATTGCAATAGCGATTGAAGAGTTCATTGTCGAAAATGGTACTTCAGAAAATAGTGCAGTATGTAGGTGGTATGTTTCATGGTCAATATTAAACGGATTTGAAACTCCGTGTGCAATTTAACGTGAACAATATCCATACGTTTGAATATTTATGCGATAATCGAATGTAATCTGACCAGTCAATACCGATTACGATTCGTAACCAAAGTGGTGGTAACATTACACGGAAATACAATTGATGTATGCACTTCGATGCGAAATACGATCAGAAAGATTATCCTTTCTGAATGTTATAGGTATAATTAATATTATTTTGAGTACATGATTCTGGAATGCATCGTTGATGCTTATATTTCTAAAATAAATTGCTGAGAAATTAGGAAAATCACGATTAGAAATAAACAGTAATTTTGGACTTTCGTGTATGGTGGACTTTCGTGGATGATAGTTATGAGAGAGTGTGTTCGATGAGCGATTAAGGTGTGGAAATTTTAGAACTCGCATGCAATATTTAAAAAACTTTAAATCCTTTTCCTAAAAAATTGAAATTTAAAGTCTGAGAATCCATGTAAGTATTTGAAACTTAGAGTTTGCAGTTTTTAAGTACGAAGCTCAGAACTTGAAATTTCAGGCTTAAAATTTGAAATTTAGATCGTGAAATGTAAAAGTTTAAATTTGAATTTTGAAATCTATAAATTGGTGCTGAGAAAAAAGTGACCTATCCCCAATAGTTGGTACTTCAATTTTTCAATAATGCCGAACGATCGAATTTATTTAATACGATTTTTTCCGATATCCGGAAATATTTCACATTTCGTCGGTTGAGCAACTCCGATACACAATCCAATTAATCGTGATACCAGTACGACCTCTTTTCGACAATCAGGCTTTTACACCGTTACATTTTCCACCCTGTTAATTCGTTAATGTCATGCCAGCAGAAATTTACCTGACCGCGATATCAATCATTATGCCACATCCTCGTGGCTCCAAATCCATATTGCATATTATTTAATACGGACGAATTTTAATTGCACGAAACTTGAGATTTCTTGTGATTAGATAAAATGAAAACAATATGAAATACAAAATTAAATTAAGGGTTAAGTAATATGATCGCGTAATGTTATTCAAGCTTTCAAATCATTCTCCCTCATTTATAAATTAAATTAGACGATAGCTTGGTGCTTTCTTTTCAATTAATTTTCTTTTGAAAGTAAAAAATGGCTCATTATCAATCTACCTTCATTGATCCTGCAAAAGCAGCGTGATTAAATTCTATTCAAGCTCTGAAATGATTGAAGACGTTCACTTTTTTGTCTCTGTATGAAAAGTCCTAGAGAATGCAAGATCACGTAGCTAAAGATTTAAAAGGCCGGGAACCGCGTGAGCGAAATTCCATGTTTCTCCCTGGACAAGCAGCGGTCGGGATTTACTTTAATTGGGATTTACTATGCGAAGTAAAATTCCCAGGCTCGGTATACATTTACCCTCGTACGTATTAATGCTTTTAGACGCTTCTGAATCGGTGCTTTTTCACTCGACGTTCCAAAAAATGCCACCAGACACGCGACAATGAATTCACCGTCGACGAGTACTTTGCTCTCATTATAATACATTTGAATAAGCCTCGAATTTTTATTCTCGCCGATGGTCGATGGAAACTGTTCGACACATAATTTTTCAGTTAGCGAAAGGAATTTGATCGAAGATGGAAAAGGCACGAAATGAATTGTTAATAGACATTTATACGGTATCATTTGCTCGATATTGTACTTACAACAACTTAATACATGAAACGAAATCATAAAAACCGTTTACAGAATTCTTCTTGAAAATTTTCATATGTTACACGCGATGATTTCTGATCTTTTTCCCAGGTAATGAGTTAACTTCTCTTCCATTATCTTCAAATTCTATTGTTAAACAATCGTGCGTTAACGTCTAGCTTTTGGATCGCGTGTTGCCGAACCATTTCGAGCGTAAAAAGTAGTTCGTCAGTTTCTAAAGCTCGTTCTGCGCTGCATTTAAACATGCCAATGAGTTCTCTCGTAACTCAAACTGGTACGAAGTATCCTTAAAATACAAAATTCAGATGAAATAATTCATGATTTATAAATAATACATCGGTTTCAGAATACCGAATGATGTGTTTCTCTTGACAGAAAGAATAGATCTTCCTTTCTTGAAAAAATAAAAATAAAACAGTAAAATGAAAGGGTATACTATTCTGTATCAATTTTTCTTGTGTTGAATGCGAATCGTGCCACGAAGCAATTCGAGAACTCGTTGAAAGGAAAGGATGAAGCATAGAAATTCTGTTTTCTGAGCATTTTGATAAGGCTATCGTAGAAAAGAGGAAAAACAGTTTTTCAAGACTCAAGATATTATTTTCTCGACACTCAAACGTATATTTTCTTTGAGAAATGACGAGTCAGAGATTTTCTATGAAAGAAAAGAATCAAGTAAAATTACTCCTTTCATCAAACAATTTCTAATTTTTCCATGTAGTTTTATGAACCAATTGATCGTTCAACGAACCCGAGGTTTTCCATCACTTCGGAATACATAATATAGCGAAACTATTCCACGAAGCGATTCGAAAAGTTGAGGTAAAGAGAAAAAAGGATACGTGGAAACGTCGAATCGTCTTCGAAGTTCGCAGAAATCGAACGTCACGAGCAGACGCATTTTAACAACCGGCGAACTCAATTTCCTTACGATTTGACACTGGGTTTGAATCTGTGCTTATGAAAATTCGAACGATTAAAGTTTCGAAATAAAGAATCACACTCAAGCAGGTCATATTTTGGTGAAAATGAACAAATAATTAGACGTATTCAACTCGATGAGTTTTACATAGTAAGACTGTTTTATCGAATCGAATCGATTCAACCGAGCAATCTCACTCATTAATTATTATCGGGCAAATTTTCTTCACAGAGGAACTGATGGGATCGTTATATCGTGTGTCTTTCGCGCGTTATTCTCCAATCTGTTCCAAGCTTTTCCACGGAGAAAGCGTCGTTTTCCTGTGGTATTTGTAAGAGATCCCAACGGACTGATTATTCTGACCCTAATAAATCCTCTGGTTCGTTTTTCTTCTGACGTTCTCGTCGTCGTGACCGTCGCTATTTCATCGTCCGTTCTTCTTTCTTCCTGCGAATGTCTGACACACGGCTTCAACGTGGTCATTAAACCTTGGAGATTACGTTATACATATCGCGCGTAACGACCATCTCTGTCCACGGACCGACCGGGTACAATCGTGCCCAAGGAAGAACCTGTTAACGGGAACGTAAAAAAATTAAAGGAAATTCCTTGTTATTGCAGGTCTCTGACAAACGTTATTAGTTGGACGAACGGAAAAAGGAAACGGCTCGAGAGTACAGCTCTAATAAAATTATACCGTAACAATTTTCATGGAATATCTTTAGGATATTGCCTGAGGTACCATTTCGGGATCTCCTTTCGTTAACGTTCATTTACCAATTGCTCGTCGTAGGCGTGTCAGTCAATGAATCTCGGTGTTGATCGATCGCCTTGTGAAGTGGAATGGAAATGGTAGGAAAGGGATGTCGACGATAAACGGCGTACAAGGTGAACGTGGAATGTGAGCATCGGCTTCGTTATTGCAAGGGTGGTTCACCCCGTTCCTCAAGGCTGTTGATCGTCGACCTATTTCACCAAAACGATGCTACGTTTACTGTGACTATACATTTCCATATTCACCGAACGATTTAATCCTCGTCTTATTAGACACGCAAACGACAATGATCGGTACTTATTGTGCTCTAATTAGAACTTTCTTCTTAATCCTTGAAGGCTATTATTGTGAATCGATTGATTTTGTGATAATCTTAATAATTATCCAAATAGCTAGTGTTACCAGCTGTCAAGTTTTTGGTTTCTAAGTTTATTTTTAATTTTAATATTTTTCTATTTTACCATGAAAGATAAGAATAAATCTCCGAGGTACACTTTACAAACTCTAAAAAACAAAATGAACTAAAAGTTAAATTTTAAAAAGTTATTAATTTTACAACCCCCTTTGTGTCTTTTGCAGCATCGAGCTCCTTAACATAACAGTAATGAACTCATTAATACTTCATGTACTTCAGAAGCGTCAGATACTAAATATAGTTTTTTGTTCATTCCGAAATAAGGGGATGAAACAAGCTGTCTTGTATGCGATATGGATTATGTTACGAGGCAAATACGTGTGTTCAGATTACACGGTGGATTAACAAAACATTTGTCAGCATAATGAAACGGTTAAATGAGATAGACGAATTAGCGAACGTTGCTGTACAATATGAGAAAGACGAACATTGAGCTCGCTAAGTGGTGAAAGATGGTATTTCCCTCTTTAAGACGGTTGACTGTTGACCCACTTTCGTGTTCAGAGCATAATGTTATACCTTGCTGATATTCTACAACTTCCGGTAAGTTCTAAGGTATCTTAATAAATTTATCTCGACAGTTCACCTCTTCTTGACGTGGACGTTAGAAAATGGAAAGTAGAAAAATCATTTTGTGTTTGTGATAAAAGTAATTTGAATTTAGTAGATTTGATAAAATTTTAGAATTTTCTCAAATACAAATGTTCAATGACTTTTGAGCGATTGTGTACATCAGGAAGATTAACAATGCTGATTTCAGTGGCATCAATTGGTTAACAGTATCGTTTAGTCATGGTTCACCAAGTTGACCATGATCTGCTTGTAATTCCGGGTCGTACACGTTCAGCTAATTCAGGCAAATAGTCACGTTTCGTTGATGTTCCTACTGACATGATAACATACCATTGTTTGAGTATCAACAAGCTGCTGTTTTCTGGGGTTACACGTTTCGATGGGACACAATAAACGGATATACGATCAAACGAAGCAATTAATCAATTAAATATCTGATAACACAAATTTTATATGAAATCAGTGATCTGTAGCTTTTATGTACTGCATGACAATTTAAACAGATTTAAACAGATTGCAAAAATGGAATATTTTTATATTGAGTAAAAAGTCTTCATTAATATTACTAGAATATTAATAATGTAAGATATGGAATTGGAAGCTTACCTTATTAATTAGTAATGGTTACCTTAATTAATTAGTTTTTTAATAAACCAATTTATTTGGGAAATTAACCTGAATATATGAAATTGTGATGAAGTTTTTATGATAGATGAACTCATTCGGAATAACAAGTTTTTCAACTGCAGTAATAATTACAGCAGTGCATTAATAAACGATAGATAACATTCAAGTAGAAAATAAATGTATACTGTAGATTCTCTTCATATTGCCGGAGATAGAATGGTAGGAAAGGAAACATTTTTCGAATTTCCAATCTCTCATTCTTAGGGATCATTCTTAGAATGATATAGAAAAAATGAGTGGATGCTCGTTATTTTCGAATAATGCTCAATTCTATTTTTATGTTATCAACTTGTATCAGACTTCCAATATTTCAAAATCTCCCATTTGATCCGCAACAACCAAATAGAGATACGATATTTTCAATTCAGGTGGAAGGAGCTTTCTTCAATTTCGTTTCACCGATATCAGATAGCATGGTTCAGTTCTTTACTTTCGTTTTTTCCTTCTGTCTGTTTTCACATAGAAGCATGGAGCACGGTGCTACCTACGGCTGGTGCTGCTGAATACTGGGCATGGGAGTACAGTGAGTCACCTTAATTATTCAGCTAAAGGGTCTAATGTGGCCAATATAGGTAGAGGTATCGCTAGCATTTCATCCGTAGATCGTAGTTATCGTTAATGCATTCTGAACTACATCATATCTAATTCATGCGCACATGGACCAGTATCATGAGCAATTCTGAACCTACTTTTATCGATCTCTTATTTATTCATATTTTAACAGGATAAAACAAGATACCTCTGTGATGCAACTGTGTTTTTGAATGAACAGTTTCTTGATTCGTTTGTTTCATTTTTTTTTTTCATCAGAAGATAGAATGAATACGATTGGGGTGTGAATGCGTTTTGTATATAATATTTTATAAAGTAAAATTGATGATAAATAATAAATAGAAATAATTTACTCATTTAATTTTATAATATTTTTATTGAAAAAAAAAGGAAAAAAAAATTTTTTTGAAGCATTATGAAGTACTATAATTAGAATTTTGTTATCGCTAAATCAAAACATCAACGAGTAATGTTATGCGATTAATTCAAACCTATCATCAATTATATTTTAAGCATAATTTCTCTTTATTAATTGGGATGTTGAGTTAAAGTGATTAATCTCTTCGATTAGCGTTATGAAACGTACAGTGATGATCATAAAATTACACCATTAAATTGATCATAAAAAGGTAACATAAAAATTGGAGTAGCTTATTATTCATAAGAAACGTAGAATACAATTTCTTATCTGTGGACAGGTAATAATGGCATAACTCCTCTAATTTTGTAATACGTAACAAGCTGCTATATAATGTTACAATTAGCCAGTCTCTGTAATAGACATTGTGGTCGATGATTTAAGGATGAAGCTGGTGTTGGTAAATAATGTTGGAAGCTTGAAGTAACGCCGACGGAGAGATTAATCTGTAAATTACTTGCATTCTTTCTAATCTTGGCTTTCCGGTTATAACGTAGAGTAAGATAAATCGCACCTCGTTAGTTTGATTAATTAAACTTCACCATAGAATGCAGAATCCTCTCGATATAGATTTTAGTTAGTACCTACCTCTTAAGTTACGTAGCTCGTTCAATTTTCCATCACCATCTTGGATGATGGTAAAGATGATAGTTCACTTTGGATCTGGTTCGTTAAGTCTTAATATTAATGAAGCATCTATTTCCTCAGGAAACTGTGATCAATTTAAAGAAGAGATTTAGTTTTTCCGATTTCCCACTTGAGTTTGATACATCTTTAATCATTATTCAGACCATTGTTCTTTAATTTTTATCATTATCACATTTAAAATAGCTAGTAATTCAGAAGGCATAGTGCTAATGGCACTGAGTTAATTTGTATACGTAATAAAAGATATTTTGACAGATTTTCTCTCGAAGGCTTGAAGAATTAGCCTTTTCAGGTGTATGAAAAATTAACGTGTCATTAGAGTTGCAAATACTTGGCAATTTGAAGAGGTTCATTTAATATTCAACCGCACGATACAGGGAAGCGATATCGCGAAACGCAGAGGATAGTGGAACAATTTAAAGTACAAAGGTGAACCGGTCGATGTGGGGTGGAATTCACTCGAAATTCAAAAGCGATGCGGGAATCCCGACCGTTCGTAATTTATCCCTTTGTGTCCAGATTTGTTTCCAATGAAGATACATTGTGCAAAAACGCTCAATGTCCTTTACTTTGCATTTCACGTGATAATTATCATTACGATGCATAAAGTTTTTTGGAAATGATTTCTATTAATCAAGTTACCTCTCTCCAGTCTACAAAGCTGCGAAATTGCCATGGCAACCAATACAAAAAAGAGGTATCATCCTCAACAAAGTTTGTAAAAAAGAAAATCAAAAAATCAAGGAAGCAAGGCGTGAAAATAGGTTGCAGGCAAAAGAAAGAAGAAACAGAAATGGAAAATTAAAAGGAGGGTGACAGAAAAAAAGAGAAGTGGCGAATACCTTGGCGAAAGGATCGGTAAAATACATAGTTGAAAACGGAGCTTTAGCAGTGGCAAGGGGCAGCCAGAGGGTTTAAAGTTCTTTCGCGGCCGCTGGAACGTAATATTCTCTACGCTCGGGATTTATGCCGCAGTGGTGGTACACAGGTGGGGGAAATTGCGGTGGAGGGTGGGTCGTGGGTGTCAGGGTGGTTCTCTTGACTGCGCCAGGAACGTTGCTGGTAGATTATAAACGGTCGTTTTGTTGCGTTGTTAGCAGATGTCTGACGCGGGTACCTATATTGGGTCGAGATAGAGGGGCTGTTCTTCGGGGGGTTGGTCACTAATTAAGTTTTTCACGCAGAAATTCACGGGGTTGGAATTCCTGAGGGTGGCGCGGTTACGATGAAAAATCGACGAAAATGGCCAGGTTGTTGTTCGCCACGGGACCGTATCAGCCTGTAAAATGTGAGCCACCCCCTAGCGCGCTCAGATGTTAAACGTAGATAATTAAAATTGCCCTCTTATGTAAATGCACGCCTTTTATGGAAATTAAGACGCGAACCGTTCCTTAAAGTAGGATTATTCGTGCCATAGAATTTGCGTTTCTACTCGGAGCCAGACAATTTTGCGGTGCTTACGCGATGATGGAGAAGGTGGCTTTGTTTATTGCAAATTATGCAAAGAGAAAGATTGTTGAAGGATACTTATAAGAGATGAATTTTCTGACAAAAGTTTTCTGACATTTTAATTATTACTTTATTTTGGTTATACATTTTCTTTACTCTGGAATAGCAAAGTCTTTTCGCTGTTGTTGTTCTTCTGCTTATTTCCACTACAATTTAATATAAATCAGCAAAGCTTGGTTATACAATTGATCGACTGATTTGCTTATTGATAAACAGATTACTTTGCATCGTTACAGCTGGCTCGACGATTTGGTCACCGAGGCAGGAATTACTTAACGCGAGTCAGTTGTAACCAACAGCCAGTGGAAATGCACTGGTACCTCGGGAGGTATGCAAATTAACGACTAAACACTATGTCGACGTGGAACTGCTATTGATACGAAGGGTCAGAGTTGACCTAACCTTGCCTAAACAGCCGCATCGACGTACATTTAGTTTACACCGTTGCTGACCCTCCGATTATCCCTTGCTTCGCCGAATTGTCGCACAAAATGTTCTCCGTTAATGCATTTCACTGTGCACGGTGGTGATTCACGAAATCCGAACACATTGCAACCGATTCGCTTTAAACTAATCTGTTTCGTACTACATATTAGGGCCGTATAACTGGATCACTTCTCTTCATTTCTATATCAAGGATTTCCTTCCAACTTAAATATAATATGGTACAATTCAAATTAGGGGAAGTTTAAGTCATCACTTTGCTGTTCTAGAATTTCTTTAAGAAGTACAAAGATCAAGCTTACGTAATTTAGAAGCAAATTAATATAGATAATTTTTAATTATTAAATGTTACAAAAATTTAATACATTACTGAAAAGTGCGAATAAGAAAATTCCAATTTTTCCACGTAAACGTTCGCCACAGAATTTCATGTAAAATTGAGACGAAGGGTTTCATATATTTTAATCAGCCCTTTGTTTCGATACGAAGGGTTGTTTGAAATGATAAATTCAGTGGGGCCCAGTGTGCATTTCACGGGGTTTTGTACGCGAGATTAACCACTTGCTTATCACGTTGCTGTGCACCCTACCCCGTGAAAAGACGTGCACCTCAACAATCAAAGGGGAACGACACCCCTAACCAACGATTGCTCCCAGCAACCAGCCATGACGACCGTTCTGTCGTCACTTGGTGGTTAACCTAGCATCCCTCGTAAGTGATGGTGCAACACGCCTTCCGTCGCGTCGGATCAACCCTACTCGTCGACTCCGCTGAATTAGGGTTGGGTAAAGAGGGTGAAATTGTTGGAGAGGGGTGGTTCGTAACGTTGCTGGGAAATGAACTCCACCGAAATGAATCTTAATCGATTTGTCAACGGTGGAAAGGAAGCAATCACCCACCTTTAACTGTAATAGAATTTTTGAATGAAACAAATGCAAAGTAGATTAATAGCCAGAGAAGATGATTGTTCAAGCCTAAGTAACAGATTAAATAGAGTAGCCCTGATTGAGATTCGATCGTAAAGCATCATTTTCGAAGGAAGCTCAAAGGAAAACGATGTACCAGCATGCTTTCCGACCATCTCAAAGGACAGTTCCTGACGTCCTGCGGCACGTACAACCACCAAAGCTACTGTATTAGCATGTATATTGCATCACGTCGACACCACACACGAGGACATCCCTTACCAGAGGCTAGGGATACTCTTGATCCTCTGTTCTCTTTCAACATTTTTTTCAATCGTGAATTTTAATTTTTAGCACTTACTGTCCCAGAAAATTGTTCTGAAAAGGGTGGAAATTCAATATTCTATTTTTTTATTCTTGTATCGTACAGAGATTGGCTAGTTTAACTCTAAAAAGGTTAAGGAGGCATTAATCTAATCTATTAATTTAAAAATATTGAAAATACATGTTATTTCTCTCGTCTAGAAAATTTCTTGTAAACGATTCAAAGAGTTCAGACTTGCTCGATCCGACAAAGTGGATTTCATTCTGTATCGAAGTCGTTGCTTTAAAAACGCATAGCCGGAAATCAAGCAACCCTACAAGCCGTCCACAAAGACACAAAAGCCTTCTGCTGGTATTCGCCGGCACACTGGGACGGTCAGAGAGTTCGTCTGAGAGCTGTGGTCGCAGTTTCTCGAGACATGAATGGGAAGAAGTTGCGGAGAAGCTGTGCATCGTGACAGTGCCGAGGACTTTCGAGCATCGATTCAATCTGGATTCCAAACAACGGAATCCCTCCGACTGAGATTCTGGCTCTGCTTGTGTGTGTGTGTGTGTGTGTATGAGGAAAACTTGGCCAACGGAGCCGCATGATTCGTATTCATTCAACGGGGATCGTGATTTCACCGATTCATATCGATCGAGGCATACATATTCAGTTTCCAGTGTGTCCCTTTGTGCGTTTGTGGAAATTCATTCCTCCAACTAGAAGCCTTCGGCGATCTC